TGGGAACACTGAGACAGGGATACCAACTAGCAGATTACTATATTAGCCAAGGCATAAGATGGTAAGAGCCTGAACCACAGTAGTTGCAGTAACAGAGGAAAGAAAGGGTAATATATGAGAGATGTTGTAAAGCTAAAAACAGCAGGACTTGACAACCAATTGGATACAGGTCATGAGAGAGAATAAGGAGTCAAGGATGACGCCTAAGTTGGGAGGATGATGGTCCCCTCAGTAGTAATAAAGAACAGAGGAAGAGAGGAGCATATGGGGAGGAGCAGGAAGAGGTTTGTGAATCCAGCTTTGGACATGTTGAGTTTAAGATGTCTATGAGAGATCTCATTCGAGATGTTTAACAGACAGATGGAGATGTGAAACTAGAGGCTAGGAGAGATGTTAGGGCTGGATAAATAAATCTGTGTATTGTCTATACAGAAGGATAATTGAATCGATGGGAGCTGATAAGATTATAAAGCAAAAAAGTATAAAGGGAGAAAAGAAGAGGGCACATGACAGCCTTGGGAGGGGGGGTGCCCTCAGATTTGGCAGACATGGTACAGATGAAGATCCAGCAAAGGAGACAACTGGTCAGACGATTACCAGGAAAACCAAGAGAAGTATCAAGGAGAAGAGGGTGATCAACAACGTCACAGGCTGCAGAAGGGTAAGAAGGATGAGGACTGAGGACAGGCCATCAGATTTGGCAATTAAAAGTTCATTAGTACTCTGCGTGCAGATTGAAGCATCCTTTTTTCACTTATGTATGTGCTTTTTCTTTTGCCATAAAGCTAATATGGAAATACGTTCTGCATGACTTCATATGTGATCAATATCCTATTATCTGCCTTCTCAAAGGGTAGGGGAGGGCTGAGAGGGAGGCAGAGAATTTGAAACTCAAAATTTTTAAAAAAGAATGCTAAAAAATGTTTAAATGTAATCGAGAAATATTTAATGAAATAAAGCATATTTTAAAAAAAGAAACAATAAATATAATGGATAAAAAGAAGTACAGCTACAAGAAATGACAAGCAGGATGATTTCAGAAAAAACCTGAAAAGACTTAACATGAACTGATGCAAAGTGAAATGAATGGAACTAGGAGAACATCGTTCACAGTAATAACAATTCTGTAGATGATCAACTGGGAAAGACTTAGCTATTCTGGTCAAAACAATGATCCAAGATAATTAGAAAGGACTCATGATGAAAAATGCTATCCACCTCCAGAGAAAGAACCGACAGAGTTTGAATGCAAACTGAAGCTGCTATTTTTCACTTTATTTTTTTCATGCTTTTTTTTTGGGAGGGGAGGGTCATCTTTCACAACATGACTAACATGGAAGTATATTTTGCATGATTATACGTGTATAACCTATATCAAATTTCTTACTGCCTCAGGTAGGGAGGAGGGAAGAAGAGAATTTGGAACTTAACATTTTAAAAAATGAATGTTAAAAATTGTTTTTACATGTAATTTGGGGGAAAATAAAATATTACAAAAAATAAAGAGAAGCACAGAAAGAAAAAAGTTCATCAGTAACTCTGAAGAAAAGTTTCAACTTTATGACGAGTTTGACAGTCAGAGTGCAAAGAGTTAAAGAGAATGAGAGGAAAGGAAAGAAGAAGTGCCTACTGTAAGCGGCCTTCTCAAAATTTTGGTCAAAAAAAAAAAAAGAAAACATAAGATGGTGAATTAATTAATCAAATGAGAATTTTTTAAGCGTGGGGAAGATATGGGCATGTTTGCCAGCAGTATGGAAATAGCCAGTAGAAAGAGATTGACTATAAGATTAGAAAAAGTAGGGATGGCTGAGGAGGAAATCTGCTGAAGAATCTGAGATGGAACAGACTCACTGTGCATGTAAAGGTTAGCCCTAACCATGGCTTTTCATGTAAAACAGAAGTGGAGGACAGAGTGGCTCAAGGCACCCAGGAGAAGGGGATGCTATGGTGGCTTTGGGTTTTTTTAGTGAAAATTGAGGCAAGGTTCTCAGATGAGAGGGTAATAGGGAGATCTGAGGAAGGATGAAAAACTTGGAAAATAGCTATGGTGAGTGAGATAATGAATCAATTAAGAGAGGGACAAAAGGACTGCCTTGTTGCAGTGAGGAGCCAGTTGAGATTATATAATCTAAACTTGTAATGGACCTAGTTAGGAAGATTTTCTTTCTTTCTCCAGATTCATTTAGCAGCATGTAAGCAGAAGCAAAGGCAATGGATGGTGGGAGTAATCTAAGGCTGGTGAATGGAAGGGTAAGATTTTTGATAGGATAAATGGGCGAAGGACTTAAGAGAAACACCCAATGTAGAGCTGAACTGGTTTCACTTAAATCTCTCCCTGTTCCAGCGCATCTTCCATACTGTCAAGTTAACATTTCTAAAGTAAAGGTTTGACTGTCATTTCTCTGCTTAAGAAATTTTACTGGCTGCACATTTCCCTTAGGATCAAATATAAACTCCAAATCTCTGCCATGGGCCCTCTTCTCATTTCCCTTTATGTTGTGTCTCTTGGTGATTTCATCAGCTCCCCCGGATTCAGTTATCATCTCTATGGAGATAATCCCCATATCTGTATAACCAGCCTTAATCTCTCTCCTGAGCTCCAGTTCTGCACTATCAGTTGCCTTTTAGGCATCAGGAACTGAATGTCCCATAGGCACCTTAAATCCAACATGTCCAAATAGAACTCATTCTGCCCTCCCCCACCTCTATATCCTTCTTTTCACTTTCCTATTGCTAAGAGCACCACCATCCTCTCTGCTACCCAGGCTCACAAGCCCAATGTCATCCTCCAGTCCTCACTCATACTCACCTGCCCAGATCCAGTCAGTCAGCTCAGCTCTTATCAGTTCTCCCTTCCCAACATCTCTGCTCCAGATTCCCCTTCTCTGCACTCACAGCCACCACCCTGGTACAGGTCTTTCCTTATCTTCTGCACTAACTGGGAGTCTGCCTCAAGTCTCTTTCCCTTCAAGCCCATGCTCCATTCAACAGTCCCAGTGATCTTCCTAAAGTGCAGGAATGATCATGTCCTGCCCCTACTTAATCTCCAGCAGGCCCCATCACCTCCAGGATCAAATTTAAAATTCTCTTTGGCATGTAAAGCCCTTCACAACCTGGCGTCTTCCTGCCTTCCCAGCCTTCTTACCCTTTCCTCCCTTCCAACCACTCTATGATTTGGGTTCACTGGCCTCTGTGCACTTGAACTGGCTGTCTCTCATTCCTGGAATGCTTTTCCTCTTCTAATTCCTGACTTCAACACTCAGTAAAAAATACACCCTCTGCAGGATTCCTCCCATCTTCTGCCCCCAACCCCTGCTATGCCTTCTGCTGACATGACCTTCCAATTACACTGTTTATATATCCTGGATGTACATACTTATTTTTATGTCGTCTCCTTCATTGGAAGGTGATCTCCAGGAGGGCAGGGATCACACATTTTGGCTTTCTTTGTATCGCCAGTGCTTAGCACAAAGCCTTACACACAGTAAACATTTAATAATTGTGTATTTACTGATTGTATATATCACTTATCTGTGAATATGATACACATCCCCCACAAAATGCAAGCCCCTTGAGGGCAGGGACTGTCTTACTTTTCCATTTGTATCCTCAATACCGAGCATAATAGCTGGCACATGTCAGGTTCTCAATAAATGTGTTGATTGATAAGAGTGAAAAAATATCTAACAAAAAAAGAGGGGTACATAACGAGGTACTAAGAGACAGCACCATTAGGAAAATATGTTGATATGGCCACTTTTGAAATAATTTAAAAATCATATATTATACTGAATCATCTAAGTGCCAAAACACACAGTAATAAGGCAGATTTGGAGAAGAAACTGATATTGGCCAGAAAGTGAGGGAAAGTATCATGAAAGAGCTGGGAACCAAGTTGGGATTTGATACATGAATTGTCTTCATACAACTGGAGGAGGAGAACAATATGAATAAGAAACCTGAAGTTGGGAACAAAACTAGTCTGGTTAGAATAGAAGGTTCAAGTTGGAGGATAATTAAGCATTGCAGGTGAGGAATAGCTTAGAGTCAAATGAAGAGGTCTTGTCTTTCTAAGATTTCCAGGATGGGGAACTTTGATTTTATCTTTGTGAGGCACTATGGCCTTGGGAAGAGAACACTGAATCAAGAAACAGGAAGACCTGGCTTTGAATTCAATCTTGAAGACTGGTTATCTGTATAACCCAAGGCAATTTACTTACTACCTCTGAGCCTTGGTTTCTTCATCTGTAAAAGGAATATAATTTAGCACCTACTCTATGGGGCTGCTGTAAGGTCCAAATAATAACAACAACAATAACAGCTAGCATTTATATTGCTAAGCACTTTAGAGATATTATCTCCTTTGATCCTGAAAACAATCCTAGGAAGTAGAAGCGGTTATTATTCCCATTTTATGGTTAAGGAAACTGTGGCAAACAGGTGAAGTAAATTTCCCAGAGTTACAGAGTTAGTCTGAGGTCAGATCTGAACTCAGGTCTTCCTGACACTACGTGCCACACTTTCTCAGCTGACTCTGGAAATTGTGAGCTATTACAACCGGCTCCACAAGGAGCTGGTGAAGATTTTGAGACAGTGGGGCGTAAAGAACACTAGTTCCAGACATAGAGGAACTGGGTTCAAAGCCATCCTCAATGCTTGCAATCCATGTGAGCTTAGGTAAGTGACTTTAGCTCTCTGGGCCTCAGGTCCTCGGCTGCAGAATGAGGGAAATGGATGAGAGGGCCTCTGAGGTCTTTTCCAGCTCTCTATATAATTCTATGATTGCTCTTCCTTCATTAATTTGAGGTCAGTCTATTCACATACAAGAATATAAGTTAATAAAGGGAACAAACCCTTACAGAAGGTATAGAAAGAAAAGGAGATCTTTTAACAAAGAGTCCACGAAGGCCCAGTGAGATCAAATAAACATAACCTCCTAGGCCTTGTCCTAGGTTAAAAAACATATTCTTAATAATAAAATGGATTTATTTTCCTTTCAGAGCATGGTTCTTCTGCTGAGGAAAAGCACCTGACCTGAATTCATAATTATCACATCCTCAGCTAATCCAATGAGTTTAGGAAAGGCCAATATTGAATACTTCAAGGTACAGTACTTTCTGTTGCAGCCCAAGTGTTTGGGAAGCCTGCGCACTGTCTCCGCCTTAGGACTCCAAGAGCTGACACATCTTCATGTGCCTATATCAGTAAAAAGGGCCTGGCTATTCAACAGCCCAGATACTTAGGTACGAACACAAAAATAGCCACAACAATAAAAAAGAGTAAAAAGAGTACTTCTGTCACTAAACAGAATATATGAAGAGCCAATGTTTGCACAGTGAAGGTGGTGGAAAGCATTATGAACAGAAATTCAATTCCTTACCGATTAATCCCCTCCTTGGTGTAGAACACAGAGTAGGTGAGGTTGTCTCCGTGTGGATCCGATGCTGGTGTTCGCCAAGTCAGTTTGATGAAGCGAGTAGAGACGAGTGAGGCCACGACATCCCTCGGTGCTGAAGGTAATGGTCCGGTTGTGGCTGGTGCTAGATGGTCAGTAGTGGCACTGGTCAGTGAAGTGGGAGGTAATGTTGGGATGGCAACATCTTGTCATGTGCAAACATTGGGGAATATGAAGGGCAAACCACGACGGTTTTTAAAAAGAGAACAGAAAAAAAAACAAAAAAGAAATAAACAAAACCACGATGGGAAACAAAATAAAATGAATGAACACAAAAAAGGCCATTAAACTGAAGGCTAACATGCAGGCAAAAAGGTTACTACTGAAAACTAATGGGAACTATTGAAGACGTCACTGCAGAGCAAGCAGACTCTATCTGTACTATGATGGGGGTGGTAGGAGGAATGGGAAGGGTGACAGCTGAGGACAAGATACCACCTCACAAAAAAGGACACAGGAGTCCCTAACACCATTTCTGTCATTTCTCCAAATAACCATGCAAACTTTTTCAAGCTTTAGAAGTAAAAACATGCTTCAATTTTATAATGTCTTTATACCCACATTATATTTTACTCTGAAATTGTAGCATAAGAGAATTAATTTGGGCTAATCAGTTATAAAAAGCAATCAGTGGATTATTATTAATCTAATTAAAGAGCTGTTGTTAGCTTATTTGATTCTAATGCACCAGTATAGCTATAATAATGGCATTTTAAATTTTAGTCTAATCTCACATTTTCTTCTATAAGTTAGCATCTGCTTGGTAGTGCTCTCACTATCCGTGGCAGGCTGTCAATCCCTAACTAGGGCAGAAGGGTTCCATTTTTTTCTGAAGTATCTCTCATTTGTCTGACTGATCCACGGCATGTGGATATGACAACTTGCTGAATTAAAAAAATCCACAAAGATGACACTCATAGAGTTCAATGTCTACAGTACTAAAATGTACGTGGGTATGTAGATGTATGAAAAAAGCCTGGAAGGCCCTATTAAAAGAATACAGGGGTTCCCAAACCTTACTAGCTTTAAACTATTCAAGCTTAACGATTACGTTTTATGAAATGTTACTTGTTACTCTGACAAAGTGTAGCAGCTGGCAAGCAAAACCTAATGATATATTAAAAAAAAATTGGTCACCATTTTTATACAGACTATTCTCTTGATGATATTTTGGAGATCTGTGCAAATTTTATTCAAGCTGGTATTAATATTATGAGACAATTCTAAAAATATCTACGCTGCATGACAGTGGATATGTAACTCTTGTTACTTAGAACCCAACAGATGCAGTGCCTCAGCAGGACTAGATCCTGTGACAATAATATTGGTTCCTATCACTGGTTTTCTAAAACGAACTTATCTCTAAGCTTATTTTATCTAAATCTATATTGGAATAGGAATCAGTTTTATAGAAATTGATGCTGTGAGATTCTGTATGTGTGTGATTAAAGAATCACAGGAATGAGTTGGAAGAGACCTTAAAAATCTTCAAATCCAATCAACTCATTTTATAGATAAGGAAGCTGACTCAGAAAAGCCACCTGCGAAGCTGGTGTCAGAGACTGCAGCAAAGCTCAGGGCTCTGGACTCATTATGCTATACTTCTTCCTCTAACTACTGAGTATACATTCAGAAAGGCATTTTAATTCACAAAGACTTCTTACCACCATGACAAATCTTCCTTACTAAAAATGAAACTGAAGCTTCATTTCAGTAATTTTGAATGTTATTATTTGGGCAAATAACAAAAAACAACCCCCAACAACCACCACAAAATGGCACTGTAAACATTTTCAGCACAGTTCAGAGGAGGCTGTGCTCATATTTCTACATCAAAGGTGAGCTCAAAGTCAGAAATGGACTCACTCCATCACCTCCAGGTCTGAGGCTGCTCCCTGGCTACAATCTGACAAACCACCTAGCTTCTAGTAAGGACAATGAAGGAAGCTGAATGTGAACAGAAAGGGAGATGAGAGGGCACGTCATCATGGAGGATCATGGCCTGGGGGAGGCATGGTAACAAGGCAGTAACTAAAAAAGATAGAAATCAAGAAGTGATAGAGACCAGTAAGTTACTCATATATCTCCCTTGACAGGCAAATATTATATATTATTTTTCCACTGATTCAAAGTATATTTCAATCAATTATGCAGGGGAAAGGAGAAGTGAATAATTCCAAATAGATTGTTAATAAAATGGTTTATATTTGACTAGTGGATCTACTCAGACATATACTCTCTTACACAAATCCTCTCAAATCTGCCTCATGGAGAGACTTTCTCCCAGTTTGGTCTAAATGCTGCCAACCTATATATGTCCCTGCCTAGACAGGTAGAAGAAATAGTACCCCAGATAATCCTCAAAGTAAATAAACTAACTCTCGATAGTTCCAAGATGGCATAAATAGATTTAGGATACGTACACGCACTTTCAGCAAACATCCTGGCTAAATGCCAGTCACAAAATAGAAATCTTGAAGTACTAGGTACTACAGTAAATGTTAAGGAGTGGGGACAGGCACTACTTCCCAGGAGACTGCAAGAGCTGAGCTCAAAGGTTGATTCTTCAGTTAAACGGAAAAAAGCAAAAACAAAAACAAAGCAAAACAAACCTTCAGAAATTATGCTGAAAACCTTGACATATTTCTATAACCAAGGGTCATAATGAAGAGGTAGAAAACTGGTTGGACCACAAGATCTTGCACAACAAATTCTTTGGCATATACTAGATTCAGGTTATAATACAGGTAAAATGAAATAGAATGTCATTCTCTGCTCCCAAAAATATATGATATATGTGTTATATATGAAAAAACTTTGGCTTTATCAACCTGTGATTTCACAGGTTTGTCGGCACCACTGAAGAACTTTTACCAATGCAAATTAGCACCCACTTTGTAATTTTACAGAGTTGCCTGGAACACTGAATGTTTAAGTTGCATGTCCAGGGCACACAGCCAATATGTGGCCAGAGGTAGGACCTAACTCCAGATTTTCCTTCTTCTGAAACTAGTTCTCTATTCACATTACATCAAACTGCTTCTCATGAAATAAAAGGCACATTGTATATAAATAATCATAACACAAAAACAGAGTATTTTACGTGCCCAAAGGGAGGTAGAAACAAGGCATCAAGAAAGTTTAGAGAAGGAAGTGATCGTTTCCATTACTGTGAGGATCATGATGGACAGATTGGTATTTGAGCTAAACCTTTAAGGAAGAGCAAGGATCCAGTATGGGAAGATGAGGGATGGGGGAAAAGAAAGACAGTATGATGTAATGCAAAGGTGTCAAACTCATCCGGCCAGCAAAACTCCCAAGTGGGTCTGAAGCAGATTAAAATGTAACTGGGAAAAGTTTAACAAAATAAGCAAAAATACAATATAATACTGATAATGTTCATTTGTGCTTTTCAAAGAAACTGTTTTTATTTGAATCTGACATCAATGATGTAGTGGATAGAGGGCTGGACTTGCAGATTCAGATTCCAATCCTGCTTCAGATACATCATGTGACTGTGGTTAAGGCCCCTGACCCCTTATGCTGTCCTTTTTTTATCTGTAAAATGGAGATAGTAATAGAACCATTAACAGTCTGTGCTCATAAGGAGCTGTCTAGTGGAGAAGACAACCTGCAAAGAAGGTATGTACAGGACAAACTTTCATACACAGATGAAAGTCATCATAGGTGAAGAGGTCATGGGATTGTGCAGAATGTGTGTTACCAATGTGAACAGTAATGACGACACTCTGAATAGCGACAGCTGAAGAAGAAAATCGCAAGCCAGGCTCTTAAGTGATCAAGGAAAGTCATGGCAGTCAGGAGATGACCAACAAGGACGTGCAATTAACAGCATGTGATCTGAGGAATGCTATCAAAAGTACGCCCCTTCAGTGTCACTAATGCTCCCCCACCATATCTTACATCTGTCTGACCCCTTCTCTGAGCACTTGACCATCTCCTACGTGATGGGCCCTATCTCAAGTCTCTCTCCCTTCTCCAGTTCATCTTATGTAGAGCTGCCAAAAAAAAAAAATCCCCAAACAGAAATCCATCCTCTCTCTCCCTTGCTGCAAAGCTCCAGGGGCTCCCTATTACCCTTAGGATAGAATGCAAATGCCTCTGTTTGACGTGGTGGGCTGGCTACATTTTACTCTGCTCCAGCCAAACAGACCTGCTTTCCTGTCCCCATAGACATATGTCCCTTTTGTCTCTGCGCCTGCAGCACACACCCTCATCATTCACTCCTAAAATCCCTATTTCCATTCAAAGCTCAGACCAAGGCTTCTGCTATTAGTGTCCCCTGAAATTACTCTGTATATATACTCCAGATTCACTTACATGCAGACCCAAAGAAAGTCAACTCCTTAAAGAAAAGGATGAGGGTTTCTTTTTTTTTTGGGGGGGGGGTACATCTTTTGCTTTCATCTTTCTACCTCCGGTATCTACTACAGTGACTGGCATGTAGAAATCACTTAAATATTTGTAAATATAAATATGTTCTAAATTTATTAATTATAAATATTTGCAAAACTGAACGGCCTTTGATTGGCTGTCCCTCCAGTACATAAAACAACACTTCCAAAAGTTTATTAGCTCCCATCCCTGCCCCACTGCTGTCCCCTCTCCCAACCTGCTCCTCCTAATTCCAGCATCCCCACTATTGAAGTTTCTGATATTTCAAACTTAGAGGTTACCTGCAGAACACTAACTTCATTGAGCTGTCTGGAGAGCTAAATGTGACAGTATAACAGCTCTCAAATTTTCCCTCTCTGCGGCCAGTGCTGCCACACTAACCCCTCCATTCCTGGTCATCTGGGATCCTGCAGTCTCCTCCTAAGAGTCTTTCCCTCACTTTCTAGGTCCTCCTTCTGCCCATTCTTCAGACCACTGTTAGAATAACTGAATCCACAGATGTCATGCTCAAGATATTCCCAAACTCCTCACTGCAAGCTGAACAAAGTTCACATTGGCTCACTTGTCATTCAAGGCTTTCCATACTGGTGTCAGTCACCTTGCTGCGCCGGCTTCATCTGTTCTTTATTTCGCTTCAGCCAAACTGGCCTGCTCTCTGTACCTCAGTCC